CTAAGTTCCGCTGCCCACTGTCAAACATGCGACTTTCCAAACAGTGTTCGAATTTATTGTGCAAATCTCCAAGTACTCAACCGTTTATACCTACCGACCTGTACTCTACTGTTGCCATAAGCTATTTACTAACGGTCTATATCGTACGTTCCGGGTGCAGCCCATTCGGTACTCATAAAACCATTGTCGCTATGCGCCGATTCATTTCCGATGTTATATAATAACACACTGGCGTACCATTCCTGTTAGATGCAACCTTTTACTTAATCCATCCAAAAGATTGGCCATGTGCAATGCAACTTCTGGTAGGCGTCTCTGCACGTTTGCCTTCCATCCGGTTAGTACGTGTGTTTTCATAGGCCCCGGTAAACTCAGTATGGCTGAGGGATAACTGGAACTATAACTATACTCACTCTCTTCACTAAGCTGCGGAGTGGAACATGGAATGGCGACATCATGATAACGGCTAGTCGGTTAATTGTCGTGATTGTTCACCTGACACAGATTTTCCAGGGAAATTTCTCTTCGAATGCATAATCCAACGTGGTCACACGACGGACAATCGTTGAGCATTGTGTTACAAATGTCAAATTTGACATTTTATGCGTACTGTAAATGGCCAAGCGATAATAACCTTTTGATTCAAACGTATCCATCGAACTGGGTACATACCCAGTAATTTGCCACCCTAGCATTGATCTGTAGCAAGCAAACAAATCACTCGGAAAAACCGCACTCACATCAATTACGAATGAGCTCATGGATGGACTGAACCATTATTCTGCGATGCACCGGCTCTCTAAGCATCACGCAAGTTAGCATTGAGCAGCTAGTCAAGCTACGGTTATGATGAGCAATACCATGGAGATGACATAATGATGTGAATCTCGGCCGAATGACAATACGAAAATGAAGATGCCATAACTCACTCTTGGTATGTAACCATACTAAACACCGCTTGAGGAGGTAGCCATAATAGCATAGCATAGATCATGATGAGTACAATATCGTAATGGGCAACACGTGAAGTCATCGCGAAATACAATCGAGTTAAATAAGCCTAAAAAAGTTAGGTTATCTCTGGCTCATCCGTTCTAGGCAGGTGCAATAAAGATACCACATTGCACCAAATCAGTAGTTAATCATTCTCGAATGAAACTGCACCCAATCCCGACTTACATGCGGTACATAGAATAAGGATGCCATCCAAAAAAGAATGACGGAGATGGCGTCAGCAAGTTTCCAAATTAGCAGGGAAATGGTGCGATTATGTCCACTGCAGGCTATCCGTGTCGTAAGGTAAAACCAGAGCCGGTTCTAATCGTCTGTTGTCCGAGGTGAGCGAGAATCAACAGGGAGGTAGAACCACCAAGCAGTCCGTCATGTGTTACTATTTATTTCTCCTTGGTCATTCGTTCGGACCGCTAGCATATCTTGACCAATCCATCAGTGTCTAGAATACTACCTATGCCCATGCATTTCGATTCGGATATCACAACATATTGCCGCTGTTCCGGGAATCAACCTTGATGACTTGTCTGAATCTCAGTGCGTTTACCTGAAGGCGGCCGCAGTACAATGGGGCGTATAGAGACACTTCAGATGGGATACATTGACCTCATTTTGCAACCCCTAATAAGTCACGGTGTCACAGGAGAAGAAATGTAATAAGATCCATCTGTCAAGTGGGAATGTATCGAGACACGAACAGATGTTAGCGGGATTTGTACTTTAGGCGAGTCCCATTTAAACATCGAGCCAGCAGATAATGGTGTTACGCGAGTGAAAATGACATCAGTCTGTCAGGCTGAAGTGTGGTGCTTATAACTGTTTCTAAATGGTTTCTCCACTTAGTCATTCAACGTGAGATATCAGTTGACACACCAAAGGTCTTTGGTTCAAGTTACAGTACTGTAGTGTTGCGAACGGACATTTGTTCACACTTGAGTATGGACTACCACGAACTGGATGAAGAACTAATGACCGTCATGAACCATAGCACAACGTACGTGTATGAGTTTGGATTGAATGAAAGAAGAACAGCCATAGTGCTCTAGGTTTAGAAAATCGCACGTAGAATTGTAAGTAACCAATACGACTGTCAGTGATTAGTTGGCGTTTCGATGAGAACCGAAACGACAGCCTTAAGTTTAGTCAGAAGTGTGGGTATCAACAATAGATTGAGACAGATATGGAAATACGGAAGCAAATGCCGTGAGTATGGGTTACCAGGTAGAATGATGCACAACTAAATGTACTAAATGCACATGTGGATAAGTCCGCTGCTCCCTGTTCTATCATCGGCTTTTGAAAGAGTGTGCAAACTGTTTTAGCAAACTTACAAGAAGTACTTTGCACAACATTTAATTGTCTAATATCTCAAATGAGTATGTCGTGGCACACCTGGGCACAATGATATCTTCACAACGGGATTTGGAATGGAACCACTTAGACATGGCTGAGAAAGCAATGAACCAGTAAATATCCATACCCATGGTGTGATTTGCAATGAAAACAGTGAGCGTTGCATAGTTAATCATATGAGATTAGACAAATAATGGGTATCAAGAGCCTCGGCAGATGGCTCAGATAAGGTGATTAACTGAACGTTTGATATTCCCATGCGATCTGGATTTCTCACCACAATTTTACTACTTACAATTTACTAACAAACTGTCAGCATACATCTGGGTTGCAGCTATTCTTCGCAACAATTCAATTGTTTCTTTGCTGAAGGTATTTTCCAATTAATTATTTATTTAAACACTACCGTAACACCATAGTTGGACTAATCTACTTTTAAGTCAATCTACATGATTGGTCATTTCTAATTTAAATTGTAGAAGGAACGTTTGTTCTTCCGCACCTTATCTCGATAATGGCTGACTTGTCCGAACTTCAGTATCAGGGATGTTCAGCTGGAAATATAGCTACACCCATTATTGTGACTAATATATGAAACAGAACATGTAGCATCAACATCAGCATGTGAATCGCTAGTCGCTGACTTGCCGGGATTATTCAGCTTACACGGACGAGCCAACGTGTGGACACTTGCAACAAAAGTTGTTGAGTCTTGAACACCGATTTTCCAAACTGCATTCCAAAGCGAGGAAGGGTTGTAGAGTACATGAACTCCAGGGATAATTGTTGATCACTACACCCAATTGTTCAATCCAATGTACGAACGAGTGTGGAATATTATGAGCAGCAACCGCTTGGTACCCAGGAGTTAACGGGACCCATGTACGCTAACCCATCGCCCATAATACATGTATAAAAACAGCCCTAGAAAAGAACCCAACGTACGATAAACGGGTGATGGCTCATATGCTACTATGCCCCACCGGTACGCGGCCAGGTGTAGAATGGAAGTGCGGGCGAAACCTTTCGAGGGAATATCTTTTCTGGAAGCAGGTCCCCTGGGGACGGTTCCACGAGTGGACGTATTACTTTACCTAGACCTTTGTTTAAGTCCGCATTTGTTATTGTTCCTGGCTTTTTAATTTATTTACTACCTTATATCTGCCAATTACTTTAACACCCGTTTTGGATCCATTGTAAAAAGCGTGAACAAATTGATTCTTTTTGCGGTTCTGCTGTACACATTGATCAGACCACATAGTTGGACTGCACCTAGCATGGCCGAGGAATATACCATTTATTTATTTATTTATAATTAGACGGAGTAGCCAAGATGCACTACAAAAACACAGCTGAATAGTTATGATCGATCACGAGTTTATACCGACTCGTCACACTGGTTCAATCAAATTGTATTTTTTCAGTTTTCAGATCTGGATGGTTTAGTTTGCTTCACTGGTCTTAGTGTTGGACATTTTGCAAATCTTCTTTGCTTGCGACAGCATCTGTCTTGTTCACAACGGACAGAATCACACTGTACTGTCTGTGCTACCCAGTCTCGTTTCTTTTGAATATCAGTGGGTATGAAGGGTGGAGTATCTGTGGGTGCAATCGACTGGTGACTGCTCACATCTTCATTGACATGCAACTTTGGAAACGAATGACACCAACCAGGTCTCGCTTTGTCTACCTCAATACTGGATCGTTTTAACTTTACCACACATCTGAATATTGCTGTAGATTACTTTATTCTATCCACCTTCCACTGAAAATGGACCATACATGCTGGTTCTGTCCCTTAACCCAAACAGAGATACCGAAGGCAAATGCAATTACTTTAGCTTTAGGGAGGCTTTAGTGGGTGTTGGCCAGTGCCTGCTCATCCAACTTGGGTTATGGTAATGAGAGAGGTTTGATCAAATTCGATTTTGTCTACCTCCTTACTGTTGTCGTCTGAATGATAACACAACTTGAGAATTTGCCGCGTTCACCAGTACATATGTGTTATGCCTGTCTCCCCTCCAACAAAACTCTATTACATCTCACTGGAAACGCCTAGCCTCAACACTTGCTCACTCGAACTGGATGTCTCAGTGAAGGCTATCACTTGCTTATCCCCTGCATGGTAACACCAGCGTACATTATGCCATCTGACCCAGTGACCTGAGATAAAGACGGAGACAATCATCATCTCGCGTAACCGTGTTGCACAGTATGTTTGTGGCGGATACTCCAAATGCCACTTTGAATTTCTTACCGCTGTGCCAAGCGCTGCTCACAGATTGTAGTGGCATAGCGATCAAGGCGCCAGCCGTTAACCAGCTCAAGCCATCTCCCTCTGATGAGTACAAACGAGGACGAAACCGGTTATGGGGTGTCGGCATTGGGAGGTGCAACACCGAAATATCTCAAGTTCAGATAAAGTCCTTGTGATCGGCATGACCCAGGTCTGCTTCAAAGTGATCTGATGTCTCAATAGAGATTGCGTGTCACAATCTAACCACACGGCGGTTACTCCAAATCCAACCTTTTTGACATTGAAAATAAATAACTTTCACTTGAAGAGATGCTAGTCTAGTCAAGTTCTTGATTGTTAAAGTAATTCTATCTGCCAGCTGGATCACTGGTCAGAGCTTTCAGTCGTTGGCCATCAGGAAATCCTCCAATAAACTTATCACTAATGCGTATAGTTTAACCTCTTCAAAGTGTGCGGTACGGTCGTTGTTGTTATGTTGGTCGGCATAAAATGCGTAAACCAATGCTTTTACTGTGTTCCACCCAGTATGTAAGACAAAATGCGGTTGCTCATTACTTATATGCAGACCGTAGCTGTCCGACTCACCGATTGCTGGCAAAGAAGAATTCGCCGTACTACTCACGTAGATATGTCCACTGCACCGGGAAACCCATGTGTTCTTGACGGCCATCGCCCTTTCCTTGTTTTCGGGAGTCGTGAGGACTAGACAAAATATGCGTACGCGTCGCTGGAGGTCGTCAATAACATCAGATCCCACTGCAAGGTAAACAATGAAAACTTGTACTTTAGTGATTTCGACACAATGGACATTTACTTCTGTTTGGCTCTAGGCACACAAAGGACAACGCGATAAAGAGTTAGTGGTGCGAGTAGGCGAATTCTTATTACTAATTGAGAAAAGTTTTGGATCTGGCAAGCTTCTCATATGTCGCTCAATTTCTCGTACGACATTACGATGGATAGGGAAATAGCTGAATATTAATAGCTTCCATTATTGTTCAGCACTAGCTACGCACTTACCGATGGACCTGAACCGTTCGACAATATTCACTAAGCCTATTTGTACAGAGAATAATGTAAGAAAATAGGTTATTAAGGAAATACATTTTCACTCTACTAATTACTTTATAGGAGGGATGAACAATGGAACCTTACATTTTATTCACGTGTTGAGGAAAACGATGCGGACACTGTCAACTTACCAGCTCGGTAACCACAGATAATGGTGCTTGAACAATCCTGGTGTTGCTACCTTCGAACTAACCTGCGTGCCTACAGCAATCAATCGCTGAGTTCATCGGGATCGAAGGAGATGGATGCGCCGAGCGAGTGTTGTGGAAGTTTGTGACGCTGTTCAACATATGTCCGAGTACAAGACCGCCTAAAATGAACAGACAACTTCGGCAGCCGTAAAATGGACATAGCAGCCGCAATGATCGGGCATTGACCCACAACTGAACGGTCCGCATTGCATATACGCGATCAAATGCCAGTTAATCGTGTTGTGAATGCTGATTGTTACTAGATCGAAGTTTTTCTAACGGCATACGTACCACCTTTTCCACAATCTATTCATATGAAGAAAGACGAAAGCTTCAACTGTATAAATATCTTGTAGCTGGGTAAGCTTCCATTGGCCGTATGTCTAGGGTTACGCTTGCGATTACCATCCTATCATAGGTGAGCGGCTAATCAAAGGGTCGAGACCAATAATTATCAAGGAAAGTCAATCTATGTATGAATAGCAAGCGGTGAGTGATACCTAAATAGGTGTGTGGTTTCACCGCGTGGAGTGGAATGAAGCGCATTGGTCCAGACCACGTCAGTGACGACAGATCAACGTGGTCAAACTTTTTAGAGCGTAGACAGTGGAGCTGAATGAAATGACCCATTTGGAGGCAAGGATATATTAGTATTGGCAATTCATTGTAAGGAGTATGACCACTAGGTGAGCTGGTGTTCAGGATAACACTAATTACTACAAATTATTTTACAGCATATCAGTTAGCGAAGAGGGAATGGAGTCTTTCAGACTTCGCCTATCGTTTGGTACGTATAAATATCCAGTACAAAACATTCGAATTTTAGGTGTGTTTAAAATATGGCTGATTTGTCCGAGTACTCTAAGAGTCTATTCCTCTTGAGTTTCAATGAATTACTGGCAATGCTGGACTTCAGCAAAGCAAAGATTCCCATTTCATTAATATGAATCAATATCAGAAATCAGTTCCGGGTGAAGAATTCTTTTCGGTAACTCTCATCGGACCCAAACGTTTACCATACACTGATAGTGTGTGGTAAGCGTCAACTCGAGCTGGGATTTAATTCTGGACTGTTGGAATGGTCAAAATCGATAACTTGAGACAGAGAGAGCGATGGTAAACTAAGTAGACTAAATACATATACATACGCAAAGCTCAGTCGTCCAAAGTAATTAAGTAGGTAAAAGAACAGCCAAATAACTAAGTAACGGTGTCCGTTGGCCAAGGTAGTAGT